TCTGTTTGGCAGGCTGTGGGGTGGATGCCTCTCAGGACTGCGCGAGAGAAAGAGCAAGGCAAAAGCTAGTATAAAAATCTAATTTCAAGCATCCTCACCAGGTTCATGTGGCACCTGTCCTCTCCGCTCATCTGACATAAGCCACTCAGTGTCGGTCTCCGGTCAGCCAGACCTCACGCTTGTGTTTCAGCCACTGAAGGTCGTCTGAGGTTCTGTGTACTGTTCGCACCGTGTTCTGACCCGACCCTTTGTGCGCCGTCACCGCAGTAATCGCATGTGGGCTATAACCTTGTTGCTCGTTGACGTCACTGGCGCCCGCTGCCGTCTGAAAGACGGAAATCACTCAGCCGGAGCGCTGCAGACAGATGGCAGGCACATCCACAAATGATAGGATTACGCCGGACATATTAGAATTTGCAGGTATTAAAATCCTCTTGAAAAAGTAATTTCAATAAAGCAGAATCTGTGTTTAGATTTAAACTGATTTAAGAATTGTTAGACTGTGTGAGTCTCTCACAAAATAAACAGCATAACAGTTTACCGATTATTTTAAGTATGTGACCAAAAGCAAAAAACAAAAAACCTTAGTCACTATTATTCAGTGAATTTTTGATTCATGGTGTATAGCAGCCTTTATTTTATTTGAATGTGCAAAGTAATAAAGTGGATAAAAAAAAAGGATTTATTTATCTATTGTTCATTTTGTTTTGGAATTATTATTATTATTATTATTACTTTTATTTTGGCCATTCAGTTATTATTTGCTTTGTATCCATTTTGTTAAAAAAAAAAAAAAAACATTTAGAAAATGTTTCATAGTGAAAGTTTGCATTCAGCATCAGGTCTATATTTAATTTGCACATGTACAGTACGTGGTCATGAATGGCTTTTTTAAATTACAGATTGCAAGAAAGGACAATGCAGTGTCATGTCATGTTCAGTTTTTCCTGTCTCTTCATGTTCAATTTTAGTTTTTATTAGTATTTGGCATTATATTATATTCATATTTTATATTATTATTTCAGTTTTTATTTTAGTTTATTTTTAATGCAAGTTATTTTGTTACATGCTTTTGTTAATTTTTATTTGTTTTTATTTAATAAAAAAAAGTTTTACTGTAGTTTTAGTTCAGTTTACATTTTTATATTCCGTTAGTAATTTTAGTGCTTAAACTTCAGTTGCCATTTATTCAGTTTTTTTGTTTACTACTTTCTTTCTTTTTTTATTTATATTTTATTTCAGCTTTTTCAATTAACAATTTTTTTAAATAGTTTTAGGTACCCTCAAACAATAATTCAGTTATTATAATACTACCTTTATTACCAAAATGTCTTTTCGCCATTTCGAGCTGTAGCTTCAGCTTTGCAGGAAGCACTGGTAAGAATATATACAGCTTGTGTTCATCTTCTCAACCAGTTGGAGGCCTGTGGGACAGCTTTGTCTATCTGCTTATCTCCAGCCTGGAGTCCTCAACTAAAGACATTTGTTTCCACTTTTATCTTTTCTTTTTCAATCAGTATGTTTGGTGTTGAGTGGCTGTCTTTGAAAGCAAAGAGAGTTACATGATTAGGGTACACTTAAAGTTAGGCCAGCAGTCGATAAACTGATCTAATTTGACTGGAGCCAGTTGGCTGATGTTGGGAGACTGTGCTGAGGCTGTAAATGACTTGATCCAGTCCAAGGAGTGTGTGTGTGTCAAGAGCTTTTTTTTTTGTCTGACGCTCTGAGAACAGCAGGTCTGTTTCTGTTGAGCTGCTCACTGACACCCCTGGGGAGAGCGAGTACTGTGTAGAGGTCTGCACAGGCTTTAAACTGAAGCCCGAACCCGACCCGTACCCAAGATCGTCTGACCCAGCCCGACCCGACCCGAGCGGCACAGTTCAATTTAGAGCCCGAACCCGAAATCTTTTTTTTCACACAACGAATAGCCAATTAAAAAATAAAAAATGCTGTATTTCACGATTGCATGCAACGGTTTAATTTGCACATGTACAGTACGTGGTCATGAATGGCTTTTTTAAATTACAGATTGCAAGAAAGGACAATGCAGTGTCATGTCATGTTCAGTTTTTCCTGTCTCTTCATGTTCAATTTTAGTTTTTATTAGTATTTGGCATTATATTATATTCATATTTTATATTATTATTTCAGTTTTTATTTTAGTTTATTTTTAATGCAAGTTATTTTGTTACATGCTTTTGTTAATTTTTATTCGTTTTTATTTAATAAAAAAAAGTTTTACTGTAGTTTTAGTTCAGTTTACATTTTTATATTCCGTTAGTAATTTTAGTGCTTAAACTTCAGTTGGCATTTATTCAGTTTTTTTGTTTACTACTTTCTTTCTTTTTTTATTTATATTTTATTTCAGCTTTTTCAATTAACAATTTTTTAAAATAGTTTTAGGTACCCTCAAACAATAATTCAGTTATTATAATACTACCTTTATTACCAAAATGTCTTTTCGCCATTTCGAGCTGTAGCTTCAGCGTTGCAGGAAGCACTGGTAAGAATATATACAGCTTGTGTTCATCTTCTCAACCAGTTGGAGGCCTGTGGGACAGCTTTGTCTATCTGCTTATCTCCAGCCTGGAGTCCTCGACTAAAGACATTTGTTTCCACTTTTATCTTTTCTTTTTCAATCGGTATGTTTGGTGTTGAGTGGCTGTCTTTGAAAGCAAAGAGAGTTACATGATTAGGGTACACTTAAAGTTAGGCCAGCAGTCGATAAACTGATCTAATTTGACTGAAGCCAGTTGGCTGATGTTGGGAGACTGTGCCGAGGCTGTAAATGACTTGATCCAGTCCAAGGAGTGTGTGTGTCAAGAGCTTTTTTTTTTTTTGTCTGAATGGTTGTATACGACGATAATTCTTCCATCGTGCAAATTATGGTCATTTTCGTCAGTTAAGACTCGTTAGCATTCGGCCTGCTTTAAATCAGACACAGAGATGTAGTGCAGTAAGATTGCATTTATTTGAATTAATTAATTATATAATTTATTTGAATTAGCGAGAGAGAGAGAGGGATGAAAGTTGCGTGTGTTAACCTGAGTCTGCGCGTCTCTCTCTACAAGCAATGAGGCTTAGTTCCTTCAATAACAGCGATTTTACCCCCTCATTGCAGAGAAATATAAAGCTATTTTACTAATAAAAGTTTCCGTGCTGTGTTGTCGTTGTCGTGTGCACTAATGTGTGTGCGTGCGTCTATGAAAGCAGTGTAGCCAATAGGCTACTGCATATAGTTTTAGTTTAGCTATAAGCCCGACCCGAACCCGAAGCTATTCATTAAACATTAACCCGAACCCGACCCGAAACCCGAAAGTATTTCGGGACCCGTCGGGCTTGGGTCGGGTAGCAGACCTCTAGTACTGTGGTCTAAAAACACTTTCTTGTGAGTTTTAGGATAAATGAGCTGGAGGTGGATTACTTAACACACAAATTACTGAGGATATTTCTTCCTTCTCCAATTATTGTTTCTCTGGGATCATCAGCGATGTCCTGTCACAGTGAAAAATGAGATCTGCGTATTTCTGCTTATCTTTGTTTCCTCTACACACCACACATCATTAGTAAATAATGCAGCTGCTTTTCCCCTTCTACTTAATAAATTAAGTGTTTTAAAAAATACAAAACAAAAGGTAATAATTTAGTTTCAAGCTGCTCTATTTCTTGTTTTTGAGATATTGATTCATTTACACAGTGATTTACATAATTTTATATTTCACTTTTCTTTTAAAATGTCTTGTTTTGAGAAATATAGATAAAGTGTGGAAAGCATGCTCACTATAATTCACAAAATGCACAAACACGGTTTTGTAAGCTTAAAACACATTGCACAAGTATATAATTTTATATCCATAATTTTATGCACAATTAAATGCGGAACAGTTTTTGGCTTTTGCACACAAGCATGTCAAAGGAGTCAATCAGTGATTGAAAACCTGTAGCTTTGTCGGCATCAAGGGGAAACCACGCAAACACTCTCATGATCCATGTTTCCATGTTTAAGTGCTGGAGTTTTTCAAATCTATGTCTTGGGAAAATGTCACGTATTGTCATATTTAATAATGAGGCAGAACTTTCTCATTGGATAAGGCCATGCAGTCGCATGAATAATTATTAGACACCCCTGTAGTGTTCACTCGGGGTTGAGTTCAAATTTAGAATATCTGATTACTAAATTAAATTAACCATTTTGTAATCCAAATAATGTGACACTATAATGTTCACAATCATCAGAACATCAGAAGGTCTATAAGGAGAATGGCCACACTTCACATCATCACTTTAGGCTATTTTGAAGCCAGACCTAACATATGGTGTGTTCACTGGCACCAAAGTGACACAGATGGGAAATGCTACTTTTACTTGTTTCTCGTAAGGCGGCTCCATATTGTATTGAGCATGTGCAGATATGTTATGATTGTTTATATGGTCTTTGATTTTAGTGTTTTGTTTTATAATGTGTGTGTGTGTTTTCAATGTTAAAATATGATTAGCCATTCACAGATTTACTTTTTTTCTTGATATATCATTATTTATAATTTCAACTTTTCACTTTATCACTTTAGTATGTTGTGGGAATGTCAATTTCCTTAATCGGTTGTCATTTTTAATTGGTTGTTAATGCTACAAAATATGCGTAGGACTCAAAAAAAAAAAACCATGTGCATAGCCCATTTTTATCCACAAATCAAATGACACCCAAGATATGCGAGTATTGAGATTTTTCCTCCATTAATTAAGGGCGTCTGCACTGCTCATTCATGCTGAAATGGATCCATTAAGTATTTCGATTGTCGATTTAATCAAATTAATTTATGCTATTGATCCTTGATTAGCCCAATCACTTGTATGTTAGTTGTCGCCATTTTCATTTTTCTTTTTTGAACAGTTATTCAGTGGGACTTTGTTTTGTTATTTCTGTGATGTTTTACTTTTGCATTTAGGAAGTTAACCAAAATGCACAAAAGTAACCTCTTCATCTGTCACTCTCTCCTCAGATGATGCAGTTTTCTTGGGACAATTACAAGCGCTACGCCTGGGGCTCCAACGAACTGCGTCCCATCTCTAAACAAGGCCACTCCAGCAATTTGTTTGGTGAGTGTCTGTCTAGATCAGGGATCCTCAAATCTGGCCCACGAGATCCACTTTCCTGCAGAGTTTAGCTCTAACCCTAATCAAACACACCTGAGCATGCTAATCAATGTCTTCAGGATCATTCGAAAATCACAGGTAGCTGAGTTTGATCAGGGTTGGAGCTAAACTCTGCAGCGCATTGGACCTCCAGGGTAAGATTTGAGGAACCCTGGTCTAGAGTGTCTCTCTGACCATGAAACTATGATTCGTGCACATACAGCTTGATGTCTCAACAGTAAATGGGTAAGCAGTCAGAAATGTCAATCAATGCTGCACAGGTGGTCAGGTGACCTCCATCAAAAAGGCTTTTGATTTCTCTCCACTCTCTCACTTAACAAGTCTGGGTCTATATCTGCTTTCAAGAGGGCAAACAAAAGCATTTCTGACTTCATCGGGCAGGAATAGCATGGCCACACCGCACAAATATAGTTTCATGATACCTTGATCCTCTTTGGTGCCTTTTTGCATTAATGTGTTTTCCTTGCCTGTAAAGAAATGTTGACCCATTTCTATTTTGAAGCTGAAAAGCGCAGGTTGTGAGTGGGCAGACTAGTCTGAATAATTCATGAAGGACTTGTCCATCTTTGTATGGTTTGTAATATGCATCAATATCTCAGCAGCAACACATTATCACACTCTACCGGCATTTTGTAATATGCGTGATTTAGCTCTTCCCAGAAATGTTACAGTGTCCTCCAAAAGTTTGGAAAATATCAGCATGCATTTACACCAAGAAATAATAAGGATTTGAGTAACTTGCAATTATCATTCTAGACCAGCAATGATGATTTTTACAAATAATAATGGCAATATATACATGTCACAGTCAGACATGCCCCTGCTGGATTAAACTCGGCCCAGATTGATTGATGGATGGATGGATGGATTTTTTTTTTTATAGTTGATTGTGTCAGAACACTTTTGTAGCTTCACTGATTAACAATTAAGTTTAGTGCACATCAGACCAATTAAAACACATTTTAAAAATCAATTATCAGATAGCACTAGCGTTTTATTTATTTATTTATTTTTATTAAAAAAAAATTGTTTTAATAGTTTTTGTTGTCTCTTGTCAATGCAGAGTCATCGTCAAGTTATAAAAATGAATGCTTTAAATTTTGTCCAAACCTTGTTTTGAAACTTAGGGCTTTTAAAAGCTTTTGTGAAATCTTTTTACAGATGAACATTAATGATGCACTCTTTTCATTACTTGAAAAATGATTGATTGCATTATGATTCAGCCCAAAACATTGGCATTTCCAGTTCTTTTAAACACAATTGGAAATTAAATTTTTTTTGTTTGATGTTTATGTACACTAAAAAAAATGGATATAGAAACAATTTCACTCAAAAATTGCAAGTAAACAATTACGAATATATGGCAAGTAACGCTAACGTGTTATTTTCTTGTAAAACATACTGCAATAATCTTTGTTTTATTTACAACATCGGAAAATAAGCATTTACACTGTAGTCATTAGCCATTTAGAAAAAAAAAAGATTTTATTCCAAACATATTTTAAAATAATAATTTTCAGTTGCAGACCTAATTGTGGTGCTTCATTATTAAAAAAAAAAAAAACTAAACAAAAACAATCTGATAAAATGAGGGATTGACTTTGACTGCACTTTTTTTTGATCATACAGACAGTTTCCAACCCTATATCCTCTTAATTAATGGAGTTCTCTGAATCTTGTTAGTCACGCATTTCACTGGTTTTCCGAGTCGAGATTGTGTTATGAAAGATTCATCAGACGTGCTGCTGTTGTGTTGTGAACTCCACATAGTCAATTGGCACTCAGCTGGAGGGCAGGCCGGGGATTTACAGCGCACATTTGATTAACCTCCATAATTTTTCTTTGGACGTGCCAGTAGAATATACAGTCTTAATTTATTTGGTTCACACACTATCAGAATAACAATATGGCAAGCAGTACTTTACACTCTTTCTTGTGTGCTACAGCGGCAGCCTCAGATGTGCGTGTGCATTTTAAAACAACTCCCATGTCAGTCAAAGCTAGACAGCTCTCTCACATGCTATCACCTCCCAGCCTTTTTTGTTGTGCAGTGCGTTTCCAGGCAGATTTGAGTGCTCGTCAATTTCTCAAATAGTAAGGTTGGCCCCATGGGGCGTATGGCCACATCAGAGACCATTGAACACACGTTTTGTCTGGCAGGGTTTGCCGTTATTAATTTAGAGGTTGGGTTAATGGTACGTTGGATCTGAATAAAAGTTGATCTGGAATATGCTGGTCAGGGGTTTTGTACCTGACCAGGCAGCTGGAATGACTGTTTTGTGCTTCCTCTAGATCTTGTTCCTCAGTGAGACGGTGAGCCGCTGAGGCCGGCCGGTTGGCTCACACACGCAGGCACGTAGCGCAAGACCTTACTGGAAGTCATGATCACTGGGACGGTCACAAAAACAGACACTTTACAACCCGCAGGGCTTTAGCTCGCAGAGAAAAATCAGGCTGCAGTCACGCCATATGGAAGTCCTTAGTCATGACAATATGCCTGCTTGTGTGTCACATGTTGTTTTATACGTATTCTGTGCCATGCGCACACACGCGGGCGAGGTGTGCAAAGGTCTTTCCATCTAGCATTTAACCTCACTTGCTTTAAGTGCGTTAAATCTTGTGCAGTATACGGCAAATTTCTGAAGAATTGCTTTTAACCAACCATGAAAAAATCATTGAGGCCTCAGAATCTGTGGATTAGAGTGAGTTTGAATATTTCACACACTCTGGGCTTGTTTAAGGCCGTTGAATCTACATTATCTAGGACAGGATAGTCTAGGATAGAAGCAAGGAGAATGCAGTAAAAGAGAACAGGGGTGTTAATGATAAATTGATGTTTATCATTTTATAATTTGATCGATTATACTGATGGACAGTTGATAATTTTGGTACTTTTGACATCCCCGGTACTACAACAGCTACATCAAATATGGAATTTGAGGAAAGACTGGGATGTGTGAGTGAGGACAGTTTTATGAGAAAGTTAAGTAAAAGCACCGTTCTTTCCATATTTTGTTTAACTTGAATGTTCCAGATGTCGTTTATATAGATTAAGTAGTTCTTGAAAATAATTTAAATTGATTTGACACACTAATCAAGTTTATTCATTTAAAGATGATTTGCATTGTTTATCAGCTTCACATTGTTCTCCATATCGTGCAGCCCTAATGATTGGTTCTATGGTTTTTAGGTAGGCCTATATTTGTTTAAATTGTTAACAATGGGCTATATTCACATCAGCTATCTTGCATGATTAACAGCTCAGCATTTGATTGGTTTACATTGAAATGAATATTATAAAATTGGAAGATTTAGTTATTTTCCTTTTAATGATGAAATTAATAGTTTTTGTTGGATTATTTCATTGCATGATTTTACTTTCCATAGCTCACACAGTCGATCATGGCTAGCAATGCCAAGGTCACAGGTTCTACTCCCAGAGAAAACAAGAATTGAAATAACAAATAAAATGTGTACCTTCAAAGCAATATATTTCACATTTGATTAAAGCGTCTGCCAACTGCATGTCAAATGTAAAATAAATGTACGTAAAATAAATCCTACTCTCTGATAGATTTAAAATTCCACTGTGTAACCTAATGCAACAGTTATCCTCCAATTTGATTGGCTGAACTAGGGCTGGGAGGTATAGCCAAAACAATTATCACAATAACATTTTTCATATGATAAATTTCAAAACTTTATTTCTTTCAAGTTTAAAGTCAGATTTTTGCTCCCAAGTGAAAATTGTAGAAACCAAACCGTTAATTGTGACATTTGATTGGTTTACATTGAAATGAATATTATAAAATTGGAAGATTTAGTTATTTTCCTTTTTTTGTTGGATTATTTCATTGCATGATTTTACTTTCCATAGCTCACACAGTCGATCATGGCTAGCAATGCCAAGGTCACAGGTTCTACTCCCAGAGAAAACAAGAATTGAAATAACAAATAAAATGTGTACCTTCAAAGCAATATATTTCACATTTGATTAAAGCATCTGCCAACTGCATGTCAAATGTAAAATAAATGTACGTAAAATAAATCCTACTCTCTGATAGATTTAAAATTCCACTGTGTAACCTAATGCAACAGTTATCCTCCAATTTGATTGGCTGAACTAGGGCTGGGAGGTATAGCCAAAACAATTATCACAATAACATTTTTCATATGATAAATTTCAAAACTTTATTTCTTTCAAGTTTAAAGTCAGATTTTTGCTCCCAAGTGAAAATTGTAGAAACCAAACCGTTAATTGTGGTTGTACACTCCTCTTTATCATCAGAACATGACAAACACTTTCAATTGTTTACACTTTTTCATTTCTTTTTTAAATAAATATCTTAATAGAAAAATGTATTTCTTAGTTTCTGCATTGATAGTGTTTCAAACCATGAAACAGGTTTGTGTTGCCTGACTTTGCTGTAAAAAATCTGTAAAAATTGTAACAATTTTTATATAGTGAAATGTAATTATTCTGATTGTTTGAGTTTTACTTAAATTAACCATTGGTCTTCCATAGTAGCATACATTTAGATCATGATAACCACTGTTAAAACCCTCAATACCATGGTAAAAATGTATCTATATGGGTTCTAGGTATTTGTTTGAAAAACAGTAGTCTAAATACATTTAGTAAAAATACACACATGCTATAGCTTAATCACAAAAAAATACTGTAATTATATTCCATTACTACGTTAATACATTTAATGCTTGTCTACATTAATTATATAATAAAATTTGATATGAGTATCCCACATTTCTGCCACAATACAATGGTGCCGTTAGTGTCACTACAGTGAATCCATGGTAAAAGACCAGTGTATAACACATCCTCTAATTCTGAAGCTGAGTTTGATCGATGCGGAGTGGAAGCATAATCATGGCTCTGTGTTCTGTATTCCAGTACTGCTTATGAAATTTGTTCCGAGAGAACG